GCTGAGAGAATAAGAGCATTTACAGCATGGGAAAAGTGATATGAATAATATGAATAAGATATTAAATATAAAATATTGATAATATAAATTATTGTTTAATCTATCTTATTACATTAAATTAATTTAATATTTATTAATTATTAATATTAATATAATAAATGAAAAATTCCATAATATTTTATAGATACTTTAATATATTTCTTGATTTTTATACTTTTGGGCAAATATTTCAGAGATTGCATTAGAGTTTTTTCCCCCTCAATTATGATACTTCATTTATCTACTACTTTCTAAACCTACTAGAAACACACCTTTTAGAATATTTTTATTTCTCCACCCTCTTCCTTTTTCCCTCCCAAATGTTCAATCTTATGAGTTTTGCTGAGATAGTCCTTAATTCTATGCTGAGGTTTACATTTTCATTGTGCTGCATTAGAGTTCTTTTAAATTGATATGAATGTATTGCTAAGTGAAAAAAATTGACTAGTAATTGAAGTATGAGCTCATTTGTGTTTTTTTTTTTTTTTTAAAGAATAGGTTATGCACATAGAAACATTCTGAAAGCATACAAAAGATAATGTTAGTGGAAGTTACCACAGGGGTGCAAATCCCGAAAAGAGATGGAAGAAGTTTTGGGGGCCATATTTACTTTTCACTTTACAACCTTCTAGACTTTGCACATTTTAGTCATAAAACTGCATTTCTTTTATACTCTTGTAGAATCAAGTTTGTCAAGGAAACAGCAGAAACTCAGGGGATGGAGAGTCAGAAGTTTATTATGCTAGTGGGCCATCAGATGAGCTCGCACTCTGAAAATCCGGAGCCCAACCCAAGTCTCACAAGACCTTTTATAGGTGGGTTGGGTGGGCTTTTTAAGTTTCAGTTTCTAAGCATATATCCTAAGCAGGCAGTTGCTGGTTTTGGCTTCTCCAAATTCACGTGACTTAAGCAGGCATACAAGCTAGATTACAGAGAAGAGGAATGCAGGCAGGCAGTTGATTATTATCTGGGCTGAGTTCTGGGGGCCTTGGTAGATAAGCACATTTAGCTACAGGGGCACTGCACAAGCATATAACAAATTTTAATTTTGAGTTTTTCCAACAATAATATAAAAAATTTCCTTGAAATGAAATTTTATTTACCTTCTTTGAAATGAAATTTTAATAACAAATATTATGAATGAGTTACAATTTAAAAAGAACATTCATGAGCATCAAATTGTTTTATCCTTTTACCAACTCTGTGAGGTATAAAGGGCAGGCATTTTCTCCATATTACATATAAGACTTTATTTACACTTATTTTATCAGGGCAGTGCATACATTATTATAAAAGCATGGCATATCTATAATTATGATTTTCCTAATCCATTCATTCATTTAACAAATATTTCTTGAGCATTTATTATGTGCCATTTTCTAGTAGTGGCTTAGCACTAAACCCTTGAAGATTATAGATACTGTAGTAGTATAGAAAACCAAGAAGTTTTCCTCTGTCGTGAAACTTATATTCTTATTGGGTGAGGAAAGAAGTCAGATAATAAACAAACAGATAAGCATATCAAGTTTAATATTACACAAAAAATTAGAGTGGACTACTATGATGGAGAATGATTGGCAGGCCTCCTCAGATGGGGTGGTCAGAGAAGGCCTTTCTTTCTTTTTATTTTTTTTAAAAAAGATGACCAGTAAGGGGATCTTAACCCTTGACTTGGTGTTGTCGGCACCACACTTTCCCAAGTGAGCCAGGGCCGGCCCTCAGAGAAGGCCTTTCTAAGGTAACATTTGAGGTAAATGACAAGAAGGAATAATATTAAGAACACTGGATATATAGTTCAGGTAGAAGGAACAAAAGAATAAGTTTGACATATTCAGGCTACCACTAGAGTACAGAAGGGTGGGGAAGAGAAGATCAATACTATATGAGGTCACAGATAGGCAGGTGTCAGATCATTTAGGACTTTTAAAGCAACAGTGCTAAATAAAATTATAGAAGCCTATTATATATAGAAGCCTATTATTTATTTCAGCACTAGGTCCCAACAGACCAAACTAAAAACCAAAATGGAGTCACTCTGCTAAGTTCCAGTTGCCAAACTAAGACTAAGTTGTGGTCTGAACTTCTGAGAAATAAGGAGAGAGAGAGAACAGCTTTTTCCCCCAAACAGGCCTGCTTAAGTCTTCAATTGGCATGATAATGAAGTCTGCTCTGCTTTAATCCTTACACAAAAAGGAGAGCCTGAAGTAACCTAGTGAAAGAAAGTGAGCTGAAACACCAGTACCAATCAAGCTTTATTAAAGGAAAAGAATCTGCTGGGCTGTACTCAAAATGGAGAGCAGCAGCAGGCATTGGGGTGAGAGGACTTATATAGGCTGTAGGGAAGGCTGACGTAATCAGGGAGGGGTTTGGTGCTGGAGTGGAAGATAAGGCTGGCTGATGCAATCAGGGGGAAGGTTGCACCCATGCAGAAGTAGAGGAGTTTCTGTTTCTCAGAAACCACGAGCTTTCTTGTAAGGGAAAAGCTGGCAGCCATTTTGTGCTCAGTGTGTGTAAAATGGCACCAGCCACATCCAAGATCCATCACCTAATATTAAATAATCAGTTATTTTTCTGTTATTCTGTCTCCCTGCTAAAAGGAAAGTAACTTTGAGATAACCAATCCACTTATTGTTCTTTGTTTCTGCTTTCCTCAGCCTTTTCAGTCTATAAAAACAACATCCTCTGCTTGGCTCATTGGAACACTTATTTTATTTTATGGAATGATGTGTTGTCCAATTCTAGAATCACAGTAAACCCAGTTGAGATCTTTAACTAAGTCTGTTGTAATTTTGTCCTTTGACAACAGTAATGAATTTAAGGAATTTGGATTTAATTTTAATTGCAATGGGAAGCACTTGGGGGTTTTAAGGAGAGATGACGTGGTCTTATTTAGAGAAGTAATAGGGGACGCAAGGAGATTGGTTAGGAAGCTCTCACTGTAGCCTAGGTAAGAGATGATAGAACCTTGGTCTAGGATGTTGGCTGTGGAAATGGAAATTGGTGGTCATGAGACAGGTTAGGGACAAACTCAAAGAATCCAGCATGCTCACCTAAGCTAGTTTCACAAACTAGGATAATCAACTGTTTTAACCACAAACTTCCCCAAGGCAGTTAGCCCCCACTCCCTCATGTGCACAAAGCTTCAGGGTGACTGCTATACAACCCTCCTGGGGTGGCAGTGGTGAGCAACACCACCATCTTAGACCTACCGAGCAGGTTCAAGGACCAAAGCCCTAATTGAGCATGTGCCCATGCCACAACCAGGAAGAACAGAATGGACCATCTCTAAAGGTGGAGAATGATGATGCTGGCCTGAAAACCCTGCCCTATAAACGACACTGGATGGCTTCCTTCTGAGAGCCAGCCTGAGGAAACTTTCTTTTGTGCTGTCTCCCTTGTGCTCCAGCATAAGCCCCAATAAAGTCTTGCCTGCAACTCCCATTAGACTTCTTGTCAATTTCTATTGCATAGAGAGCCCAAGCGCTTGGTTTGGTAATGTCAGATTCAGGATACGTTTTGGAGGTAGAATTTATAGGATTTGCTGATGCAGTACATAAGGAGAGGGTGAAGGGAGAGAGCAGTAAAGAATTAAATGTAAATTTTTGGCTAGAGCAACCAAGTGAATCTTGGGGTTGTTTACTAAGATGGAATACTAGAATCAAAATCAAGAATTCTGTTTTTTGGCCATGTGATATTTAAGCTGCCTATTAGATAGCTAAGAGATGTCCAGCAAGGAGTTGAACATATGCGAGAGGTCTTCAAAAATGTTCATGGAAGGATTTGTATTATCTTTTAATCCTATTTTTCTGCAAACATTTTGAAGTACCCTCATATGTTCATAGTTCCCAGAAGGATCAGAGCTGGAATGACATGCATAGTGATGGTCTTTAAAGCCAGGATGAAGTTATTTGGAGGAATGCGTTGATATTAAGAGAAAGAGGGGCCTAGTGCAGCATACTGGGGGATGCCAATGAATAGAAGGACCAGTTAAGAAGTTTGAGAAGCAGCAGCTGGTGAGGAAGGAGAAAATCACATGAGCGACCCAGAAGGCAAGAAGTGTTTTAAGGAGCCTGCGGCGATTGTAGAATGCCGCTGGGAGTCAAGCTACAGAAGAAACAATTGGGTTTATCATGCAGATCACTGGTGTCCTTTAAAGAGTGTTCAGTTCAGGCCCATTCAGTGCGGAAGTCAGCCAACTGGAGTGAGTTTAGGACAGGTGAGGTGAGGAAGTGTAAAGGCTAAACTAGTACGGTATTTTCTTGACTGACGAGGCAGTGCACATTTTGGCTTGTATTTGTATTTACAAATGTTTGGGGAAAAAATGTGAAATACGTATGTTAGAAGCCTATGTGTCTCATACCATTTTGAAGTTCTGATATAGGATCGCTGTACCTACTGCATTTTTTTTAAAAAATTGAGGGATAACATATATTCGAAAGTGCATAAAGTGCATTTAAAATGCACAGCTCGATGGTTTTTTACATATGTGTACGCCCATGTAACCACTTTTTACATCAAGATATGGAATATAAAGGGTACTCCATAAGGAGTTCCCTCTGAATCTCCCTATTGTATAATCCCTTAGAAGTAAACCAGTACTCTGATTCCTATAAACATTCATTAGCCGTACTACAAAATTTTTCAAAGGAAACAAATGAACACTCTTGATGGGCAATAAATGGGAAACTGCTTTAGTGTAAACTTAACCAACCGACTTCAGTAAGTACACTTGCTAACCATTTGGTAACAACGTCCTGGCGCCGATTTTTAAGCCATTCTTCCCCAACGCCCCGCCCCGCTTTCTACACCACGCCCCCTTACGCTCCTTTCCTCCCCACAATGCGCTGGGGCACCCCCGGCGGTGGGAAGAGGCCGCTTTTCTGTCATGCGCACTACAGAGAGGCGCGCTCCCCACTCCCTACTCCACAACCCACTGGGTCCCGGGACCCTGTCATGCGCATTGAGAGTCCTCTCGGTACGCGCGCTCCGCTGCGCCGTTGTACGCATGAGCCGAGCGACCCGCGAAGGCGGAAGTGGGAGCTGCTGAGGGGAGGTGGGGCTGCCGTGCGTGCCGTGGGTTGGAGGAGCGGCCGATATGGTTCCCTCCCGGAATCTTGTGGGTCCCCTGGCAGTCCTGGTGCTGTTGCTTTGGGGGGCTTCCTGCACCCACGGGCGGCGGAGCGACGTGCGCGTCATCACGGATGAGAACTGGAGAGAGTTGCTGGAAGGAGAGTGGATGATAGAATTGTGAGTGCGGGCGGTTGTGCCGGGGCCCCTCGTTCTCCGGGTCGACCAGAGTCCTGCATCCGAGCTTGGGCGTCCGGTTCACGTTCCTCATGCGGTCCCCAGGTTCCCCCGAGTCGCGGAGCGGGCGCCCCCGACTTTTGCTGATCACCAAACTCCTCTTGGGCTCTGCAGCCTCCTTGGTCCCACCCGCTCCTCGTTCCTTACCCGGGAGTATTAAGTTTCCTCTGAAGTGTGCACCCTAGTTTTGTTTCTAGGGCTGTGGTACGCCTTCAAGGATTGGGTGCCACTTAGGATTCTCTCTTCATTCATGGCTTTGAGGGTGAGAGTCGGGCGGGCGCGCGGCGGGTGGAGGGGTGGGTTCTGACTAGTTTTTATACAGTTATTTACTTCAGAATGATTCTTCACAAGCACACTTATAGACTTATTTTCACCAAGCTTTACGGAAGAGGATATGGAGCAAAATCTCTCCACGCCTTTTGTCTGTCTTTAAAAAATAGTTCGTTTATAGTGTTGGGATTTGGGACTTAATTTTTTATGGATTAGGTACATTTCTTTCCTTTTTGTTGTAAATACTGAGTAAATTCAGGTTGGGTTATTTTTAAGTCTTTTTTTTTTTTTTCCTTTTTTGCTTTCTTTTTCATTCCGCATTTCTTCTTTGTGTGTGTGTTTTTGCAATGTAGAGAATGCCCTGGCTTGTGACTCCTAGGCCTTTGAAAGTGGTATTGCATTAAAAGATAAAATTAATGTATTAGTTTGCTTGTTATACTCTTAAGAGGGCCAGGTCATCATTTATTGCTTGAACAAAATCATCTATCTTGTGTGGTGATAACGTTTTAATGTCCTCTCAGCAGCAATAGGAAATAAGCTACCTGCCTTTGCTTTAGATGCTAAATTAGTAAATTGAAACTAGTCGTATTACTAATGTTAGTAAAAGCAGCATTATTGAGTGTTAACTGTGTATTGGACACTGCTAAGCACCTTTACAGACATTATTATATATAATTCTCCAGAAATTCTCTTTGCTGGGTATTGTTTCCTGTGATTTACAGATGCCTAAATACTTTAACCTTCCAGATATTGCTATTCTGGCTTTCACCAGAATAGGCATGCAATAATTGTTGTTAGAACACTCCCTTTGACAAGATTCAGGTTAGTGTTTTTCTATATCGTGGATGCAACTTGGATTGTCAGTTAAGGAGGCAGGTGGAAGTGGACATCTCCAAGGGAGAACCCAGAAGGCCAAATCGGTAACTCTTGAGTCACTAAAAAGAAAAAGAAAAAGAAAAAACATACAAACTTAGAACATTTATATGGAGGGTAAGATAGGGGAAAATGTTTGTAGTATGCGTATATAATCTGCAACTCAGTGAAATGAATTTCCAGCACTATTGAAGATGCAGGAGAGAGGAAATATAACCAGTGACAGCATTTGTTTTTCAGTCATTGTCATGAGTGACTTGTTTTATTTTATTTTATTTGTTTTTGGCAGCTGGCCAGCAGGAGGATCTGAACCCCTGACCTTAGTGTTATTAGGCTGCACTCTAACCAACTGAGCTAAAAGGCCTGCCATTGTTTTAGACTGTGCCCCTAAAATATTCAATACTATAAGCAATATCTTAAGCAATGGTGATTATGAATTTAAATGCAAAGTACAGTTAAGTATTACTCAAAGATATTTTTTGACTCATTTGATCAAACTATGTAAGTACTTGTATCGTAGTCAGAAGAAGTATTAGGGGAACAAAACTAACAAAACATTGAATGTGAGCTAAATTCGAAATGGAACATCTATCTGAAATTATAGTATAGGGTAGTGTTTTTTTTTTTTTTCTTTTCTTAGCTAAAGATTCTGAGATTAAATCTTTAAAAAGCAACTAAGAAACAAAAGGAACCTAAAAAAGAAGGGATCTAATAGTCCTAATAATATGCTCTTAATTACAAGTTAATTATCTTCAGGGCCGGCCCGTGGCTCACTCGGGAGAGTGTGCTGCTGATAACACCAAGGCCCCGGGTTCAGATTCTATATAGCGATGGCCAGTTAGCTCACTGGTTGAGTGTGGTGCTGACAACACAAAGCCAAGGGTTAAGATCCCCTTACTAGTCATCTTTAAAAAAAAAAAACAACAAAGTTAATTATCTTCAGTAAATCCGTTTCTGGCCAGATATTTTGTTGTAGAGATATTTTTGTTATAATACAATTTATTGTTAAGGAGTTTGGCTTTTATATAGAGAGCTAATTTTTCTTGTTCTACAATACCTATTTTAGGAGTTTGATTTTCCTAAAACAAGGCAAGAAAATGTGAAGTACAGGGACTGTACTTCTGTGTTTAACAGGTATAGGCTTTATTCTTCCTGGCTCCACAAAAAAAACTGAGGCAAATTATAAAATAAAGTGGAAAGATAAAATCCTGGTGAAGAATAAGGGCCTGGGAAGATAATACCAGAGGAGTAATTAAAATGCTCGGCTAATATGCTTGGCCTTAGAATTTGTAAACCCAAGGTCTTGGAAACAAGCTGACCTAGGGCTGGCCAAAAGAGTTTTGTTTGGCCTGCTTAGTATTTGTGAGTGGCTTAAGTTTTGAGGTAACATTTTTACATAAAAATGCAGATCTCCAGCTTCTTTTAAATATAAATAATCTGTCTCACTGTGCCAGCAGTCCCTTGTGGCAGTGTTGCTGGGTAGTAGTGGTTGCTTCCTTAAGATGGAGCATGTGCTGTATTATTCACCACAGCCCAGAGTACTTCCTACTTTTCCAACCCCTTGTATTTATGACTCTGCAGTTTAAAATTATTACTCCAAATTTGGCTTTGAACTTTCTGGTGGCCACATTTTAATAGAAAAAGCCAAACGATTTTCATGAGCTGCTTTGCATGTGAAAAAGCCATTGTGTCTCAGGAACTTACTCTCACCGGACCCCCCTCCCAGAGCCAGGCGCCCCATGCTAGTGCCTTGGGGCCTTCCCTGGGACCCAGGGCATGGAGAAGGTGACTGGACCCTCCTCCCACAACCAGGCACCCCATGCCAGTGCCTTGGAGCCCACTCAGGGACCTGGGGTATGGAGAAAGGGGACTGGACCCCCCCTCCCACAACCAGGCACACTGCCCCAGTGCCTTGGGTCTGCCCGTGGACCTGAGACATGGAGAAGGGGACCAGACTACCCTCCCTCAACCAGGCACCCCATGCCAGCACCTCGGGGCCCACCTGGGAACCCACGGTATAGAGCCTGGGACAGCACCCCCTCCCCACAACCAGGCACTCAGTGCCAGCGCCTCGGGGCCCACCCAGGGATCTGGGGCATGGAGAAGTGGACTGGACCCTTCCCACAACCAGGCACACCGTGCCAGTGCCTTGGGACCCACTCAGCAACCCGGGGCATGGAAGCAGGGATCAGACACTCTGCACAACCAGGGACACTGCCAGCACCACGAAGCAGGCCAAAAACATCTCCTTCATGTGGGTGGCCCACCATAGCCACCACAATAACTATGGCTGCCCCAAAGGTGGCTAGATGCCACAACCACCATGCAGATGGTTCGCCAGCCACTGGAGTAAGTTGACACAAGGAGAGTCACCAGTAGAGATAAAGAAAGGAGGAGGATGTCTGTCTCCACAGAGCCCATTTCATAGTGACAGAAGAGACATCTGCTCTATGATAGTATTGGGGGACCTGATCATGCCTCTCAGCATTGGACAGATCATTTGGGCAGCAAATCAACAGAGTAACCATTATTCTTTCAGAGGGAGAGAAGAAATGTAGGGTGATTAGAAGGGGGAGGGGGGAGCGAAAGGGGGATGAGGAGGGATTAGACAAGGGGCATAAAGAATAATTACAATTTGTAACAATATATATGCTAGTAATATTGATTTGATCAACATATCTCAATATTGAAACCCAAAAATATGTATAATCAATTTTGATTCAATAAAAATTAAAAAATTAAAAATTAAAAAAATACATAAATAAAAAGCAACAGTAAAATAAAATTTTAAAAAAATCTTACTCTCAGAATTACTTTTGTTATTAACATCATCAATTCATAGTTCTTGATTTCCAGATCGTTAGACCCACACTTAAAACTTTTTCTTCTGCATAAAATTAACCATGCGTTAATCAGCCTTTTCAGTATAAAATATTCTTCACAAAGTATGCATTTAAAAATTTTTTATCGGGCCGGCCCGTGGCTCACTCGGTAGAGTGCGGTGCTGATAACACCAAGGCCATGGGTTCGGATCCTATATAGGGATGGCTGGTTTGCTCACTGGCTGAGCGTGGTGCTGACAACACCAAGCCAAGGGTTGAGATCCCCTTACCGGTCATCTTTTTAAAAAAATAAATAAATAAAAATAAAATAAAAATTTTTTATCCCACGATGAATGGTCATATTAGAGTGCTTAACTTTTTTTTTTTTTTTTTTAACTATATTTCTTAGTTACGCTCCGTGGTGTCCTGCTTGTCAAAATCTTCAACCAGAATGGGAAAGTTTTGCTGAATGGGGAGAAGATCTAGAGGTTAAAGTTGCAAAAGTAGATGTCACAGAGCAGCCAGGTACTGTAAGTCTGTGGTTAGTTTTGTTTCTTTGCAGATTGGACTGATATGTTTATCCTATTGTCCACATTACATGGTCTTAACCCTACCTTCATTAGGTTTTGAAAACATAATGGTCTATAGCTAGTTATGCTGATTTGCCCACCTCCCTGATGGGTCTCAGTGTGCAGTGGCTGCAAAAAGCAGGTTCCCTGGTTGTGTATGCAGCTTATTCCTTGTATGTGTTGCTCTAAGGGACCTTGGAGACATCATCCTCTCCCTATTCTTGCCCACATAACTGCCTCTAATCTTTTTTGTCTGCATTCCGGCCCCAGACTAGCATGTAAGATGCCTTTGAGAAGACTTAGAATACTGGTCCAGGTGGACATTGGCTAAGTCATCATTTACATCCACACCAGGCTTCAGAATAAGAAGCATGTGGTTGAGTTTCTTTGTAGAGTCAAGGTCACAGTCTGACAAGAGAAGGTCTGAATCTCTGAAACTGTGTTCCACATTTTACAAAGCTCTCATGACTAGGATCAGGTACACTCCTGACTTGGTCTGCTAGACAAGTGGCAGGCCCTGCCCTTAAGGATGCTCCTTTATCAGACTAACTTCATCTTAATTGTTTTTGGTGGTGATGATAAACCTGGGTTCCTGGCTGCCCTATACAAATGGTAATAATAGGTAATATTTATTGAGCACTTATCAAGTGGTACAGAACTTTTCCAAGTGTTTTGCATTTATTTTCTAATCCTTACACAACTTGGTGAAATAGGTAATATCCCCATTTTACAGATAAGAAAACTGAGGCACAGAGAGGTTATTTCCCAGTAATTTCAATGCTTGACACATGGTTAATGATAAATGTTAGCTACTATTGTTATTACCTGTCTTATGAGAGATTCATAGTATTTTCCATTTTTAGCAACACCATAAACTGCTTGCTTCTTGAATGTCAAGTGCAATTTCATTTGATTTTTAAATCTTTCTGAGGCCCTATTATATTGTGCTGTCCCATGACTCATCACTAGTAGTCTTCATCACACGGTGGTGTAATCGATCAAGTGTTTGTGTATATTCACAAATGTCTTCAATATATAACTTTGCATACTTTTTAAATGAGATAATATACCATAGTGTTTTTTTTTAAGTTTCTTTCAGCACATAATTCATGTTTTTTCAATGTTTATTATAAAGCTGAACTATTTTAGGTATAATTTCACATTGTTTCCTACCAGTATTTAAATCATTCAAAATTTCGCATGTAAGTAGTCAGTGATTGGCCCAAATAAAACCTGTTGTGTGTTCTTGTATCATTTGTAGGACTGAGTGGACGGTTTATCATAACTGCTCTTCCTACTATTTATCAGTAAGTATTTGAAGATTCTTGGTTATGGAGAAGGATGCATCATAGTGTAATCAGAATAGAAAGCTTCTGGCTTGAGTCATGTTTGAAGAGCTGAGGTAATCTCATTCTATTCAGCAAGTGTTTGGAGGGCTTGTTTTGCTCATGGTGTTATAGTATATGCCTTTACATAGATGAAGGAAGTATGAAATTGTCCCTGTTTTCAAGGATTTGTAATTGTTTTGGAAGGTGATATTCATGTGAAATGGTGTGATCATGTTCAGCATAGTAAATGATTATGAGCCCAGAGTAGTGGTGAGTTCTGTAGGAAGTTAGATTAAGGAGAAATTTGTTACGATTAGCTGGGGTGGTTCCTAGAGAATATGGGGTTAAAACGAAATCTTAGAGGTAGTATTTTCAAGAATGTAGGGTAAGCATTCCATTCTGAGGACAATCTCAAACAGTCATTAATAGGAAGATGGTGTGTTCAAAATGTAGCTAAGGAAGTGCTGTTGCACCACCTTGGGTAGGGTAGTGGGCGATAATGTTGAGTGTTAAATCAAAATGAATGATTATGTAGTTTTCAGTATCAAGTCTGTAAGTTTGGCTTTATCTTCTAAACTTGGGGTAGGAAATCTCAAATATGTGTATGTATACATACCCTGTACCTTAATGTCACCTAGCTTGTGGGCTAAATAAATACCAGGAGGTACTTCTCTCATTTAAAGTTAAGAAAACAAGTTGGCAGTTCTTTGTGTGTATATATATCTTGCTTTTCTTTGTTCCTTTTCTTTATTTTAAAAAAATGAATTCCTATCCCTTTCGTATCTATTTAAAATTTCTATCCTCTGTCTCCATAAGTGCTTTTCCCCCTCCCTTTTCACTCAGTCCTTTTCCCCACATGTCCCTTAACTGGCTATAATCAGTTGCCCCTTACCTTTTCACTTCTCAACATTTCCTGAACTTCCTGCCCTTTTACCCCCCGATTTCTGCCTGTTGGAATCCTACCTGTCCATCAAAGAATAGCTCATATGTCACCTTCTCCACAAAACTTTGTGTTTTTGAGTGGGGGCTACCTTGTAGTCTTTAGCTACAGATGGATAAAGGATCCCCTAACCCTACTGTAGGTTATAGGGAGCTTGAGTGTTTGCACTTAAGGACTGGGAGAACATTTATGACCCTGTGACAGAACTTCATACATTGGGAATAGGAAGGAGGAGGCAGAGATAAAGAAGAATCACTGAAATGGGAGGAAGGGAAGCATTGTACCAGATGCCTCTGGCGATGTAAAGCATGATGGCTGGCATGGTATGATTATACTGAAAGTACCAGAAAAATACCTTAAATTTCTAACTTATAATTTAGCAATATATAATACTTAATATGTATCAGGCAGTATTCTAACAGTTTTTCACGCAGTAATTCCTTTAATAGGAGTATGAGGCTTAAAAGTGATTTTCTGAGTTTATCTACCTACTGTTGTTTCATTCTTTTATTAATATGGAAGAGTAACAAGCCTTAAGTCTTAAGGCTTATAATTGTTTAAAAAGGTAACTTTATTGTTTAGTTATATTTCGGGCTAGGATGTCATGAGTAGGTAATTGGTATAATTTGCTGCTTGTGCATTGTTACAGGATTGACTATAAAATGAGATGAAGAAATAGCAAAACAAGTACAAAATTTGTTTCTCAGGCTAGTTAATATTTAATTCTGATTTTCTTTAGTTGTAAAGATGGTGAATTTAGGCGCTATCAGGGTCCAAGGACTAAGAAGGACTTCATAAACTTTGTGAGTGAAAAAGAGTGGAAGAGTATTGAACCTGTTTCATCATGGTTTGGTCCAGGTTCTATTCTGTAAGTATGAGGAGTTTTTCTCTTATCTATTTCAGAATTAATTGGAACATATCATTATATTTCATGTAAATAAAGCATTCATACTCAGTTTGTTCCTTGGGCTCTTATAGTATATTCAGACTTACGTGTTTGATATTTTCAGTTTGACCTTATCTTCTAAGTCGAAATACTTTCATGCATATTAAGCTGGACAGAGTCATTTTAAGTCGAATGCTGGGACTGGCTGGTTTCTCAGTTGGTTAGTGTGCGGTGTTATAACACCAAGGTCAAGGGGTTGGATCCCTGTATCAACCAGCTGCCCAAAAAAAAGAGTTGAATGCCTTTTTAGGAATATTTTAGCTTTGCAGATATGGTCATTTGTATCATCAAAAACTAAATAATCTTTCTAAGAGTGTGAACAGTGTAATCAGTAAAGCTATTGCCTGGGCATAGTAATTTGACTGAAAAAGCTCAGTTACCTCCCTACCTAAAGACTTCAGTTCTTGATGTAAAGTGATTGAAATATGTTTGGTTGGTTATTCTACGTGTTTGATAACTTCTTGTATGGGTAGTGTGGATGAACAGTAACCCTAATGACGTGACTAAACACTGAGCTTTATAGATAGAGAGTGGATACATTTCTCCACAGCAGTTTGCTATGGAGTGGTAAGATTGGAAATGGCAAGCATGCTTCCTGCTACCTTGTTGGGGTACAAGAACTCACTGGTCATTTTTTTTTTTAACTTACAAATTATAATTATACATACTTATGGAGTACAATCTGATATTTTGATACATATATATATTGTATATATATTTTTTTTTAAAAGATGACCGGTAAGGGGATCTTAACCCTTGACTTGGTGTTGTCAGCACCACGCTCAGCCAGTGAGCGAACCGGCCATCCCTATGTGGGATCCGAACCCGGGGCCTTGGTGTTATCAGCACTGCACTCTCCCGCGTGAGCCACGGGCCGGCCCCATATATATATTGTATAATTCACTGGTCATTTGAGAAACTTCTGGGAATAGCTAGTTTTGCTGAAGTCACCATGGACTCATCCCAGTGTGGCTAAAGCTATCTTCTTTTCACTTCACTTCACTTGTCCTTGGAAGATGGGGAGCTGAGACACCAAACATGAAAGAGAAAAATGCTCTGGATTCTGGGAGTAGGAGAAAGATCAGTCCTTAAGCAGTATTTTGGGTTTTTTTGTTTGTTTGTTTTTTTAAGAGGATTTTTTTTTTTTTTTCTGGTGGCTGGCTGGTAGGGGGATTTGAACTCTTGACCTTGGTGTTATAAGGTGGTTCTCTAACCAACTGAGCTAACCAGTCAGCCTTAAGCAGTATTTTGAAGTAGAAGTTTATCTTTAGCATGTTTCCCTTACATGCTTCTTTTCCTGAGAAAACCTCTGAATTATCCTTTAGCTGTCATAACTCATCCACTGAATGCCCAACCCAATTATGGAACCTAGTATTCCTGTTATATTTTAATTAATGCAGACTATAGTTAGGCTCTGCAGTGCTTATGTTTCAGTTCCTTGTTCCCATTCCCACTTGGCTTTTAAACAACAGAAGCAACATGATTAAAGTACTTTTCTGTATTGAACTGAAAGTGTAATTGATTATTGTTCTTTAAAATCTCATCTCATAAATGAATCTTATCCTTGTTCCATAGAAGAAGTTGGTTGCTTGTAAGTCTCTGTTGAATCGTCAGGGCAGTAGTTTGTACCTTTTTTATTGGTAGACTGAGTAGAGGGTACTCCCAGTGTCAGCTCAGCAAGTTCATCCACCTCAGCGATTGGCAATTGGATAAGGCCTTCCTACAGTAGCTTTGGCTTCTGTGTGAAAAAGCCCTTGGTAACACCGGTCACACTTCTTGTTAGAGGGAAAACAGTTGGGAACCCACAAACCCTTATCTTTGAAGCATGCTTTTTTTTAAACTGCCCATCTAAACTGCCTGCATTTACTAGTGTAAAAATAATTACTTTTACTTTTATATGATGACTTAGCATTTATTTCCTATGTAATTATTTTTTATATCATTAAAAGGTATCAAACTATGCTATTGTAAATATGAATTTTGATAAAAAAGAGGGATAATTCTTAAGGGAGAAGAATCAGCTCAACAACTTTTCCCCATTCTTCCTGCAGGCTCCCTTCTTTGCTTATTCTTTGGAGGATCTTAAGAGTGAATAAGAGCTGTCATTTTGAACTGGTTTTATAAGAGCTTGTAACCTGTTATTTAATATATTGGAGAAATCATCAGATGAAAGATGACAGGTTAATGTCAAGGCAGTAGGAGAATAGGGAAAAAAATTAAGTATTTTATTTATGAGGATACCACATGGTGGTAACAATTAAGGAAGTGTTACTTAAAAATTTTTTTTTATTGAAATAATTGATAATACATATTTGTGGGATACAGAGTTGGCTATCAATACTTGTTTATAATATGCAATGATCAAATCAGGATAATTAACATATTTATTATTATAATATGTAGTCATTCTTCATGCCCATTAACCAATTCCTCACTGACCCTCCTCCCCTTCTCCCTTTCCCAGCTCTAGTAACCACAGTTCTGTTCTCTCCTTCTGAAAGTTCAGCGTGTTATTGTGATTGTTGCAGAAACTTACTTTTCATGAATAAGCCATATTACAGGCTTGAAAGCAGTGGTGTATCACTAGTTTAGATTATGACTAGCAATAAAACCTGTTGTGTTGGGGAAATTATAGAGTAGAAAATATAATATATATATATAGACAAAGCTGTGTATCTTACTCAGTTTTTCAATCATCTCTTTTAGGATGAGTAGTATGTCAGCACTCTTTCAGCTATCTATGTGGATCAGGGTATGGACTAAATTATTATTTCTATCTTAAACATTTTTAACACTCACTCTCTTTATAAAACAAACAGGTTTTTAATTTTTTTTTTCTTTTTATTTTAGACCTACCATAGCTATTTTACTGAAGACCTTGGATTACCGGTTTGGGGATCATATACAGTTTTTGCTTTAGCAACTCTACTTTCAGGACTGTTCTTAGGACTTGTAAGTACTTTATTTTCAGAGTAGTAGGCAGAAGAATATTTTTAAATGTTATTGAATATAGTTGCACTAGCTGTATCATATGTTATATATTCAGATTTCTTATAATGTTTATTTTTTCAGTGTATGATATTTGTGGCAGATTGCCTTTGCCCTTCAAAAAGGCGCAGACCACAGCCATGTCCTTCAAGTAAGTATATTAAATGTTTATTTTATATTCAGTATAATGCCATTCATTTCTGTAAACACAATCACACATTTAAGAGGTTGCCCTTACAACTTAGATTCCTAAATGTGGAGTGGTGGTCTGTGTCAGCTATGGCATAAGGGAATGGGGAGGAGATACATATCTCATGAGAGAATGGTATCCCAGAGGATTTTGGAACATTGTTTTCTTGACTCTGTAAATATGGAGAATTTTAACATTGCATATAACTCGTAGATATTTAATGTCATTGATCTGATATCAATTTATTTGAAAATTTAATGTTATTCATGATTCATTTAACTATGTGAGTCAAATTTTTTTTTTTTTTTTTTTTTAAAGATGACTGATAAGGGGATCTTAACCCTTGACTTGGTGTTGTCAGCACCACGCTCAACAAGTGAGCAAACCGGCCATCCCTATATAGGATCCAAACCCATGACCTTGGTGTTATCAGCAACGCACTCTCCCGAGTGAGCCACGGGCCGGCCCAAGTCAAAATTTTTAAAAGTTGAATATATTCTACTCGAAGTCTTTGATTAGAAATAGTGACCACATTTGAAGATTATTTATATGCCAGTCAATTCTAAGATTTTTTCTGGTTGGACATTGGGAAAAGGAATTCCTGTAGCTGATTTAGGATTGGCATTGACACTGAACTGTACTGCAAAATGGGTTTATATAATTAGAAGCATTTATGGCTGGCTCTTGTAATATAATTACTTAGCAATCATTTGTTTTTAATTTTGGGAATTGTACTACTAATGGAACCCCTCATATTTGCAGTTCATAAAAGACTTGCACTTTCTGTTATCCCATTTGATTTTCAGGAACTGTGTAGTAGACTGCATTGGCAATACTGTCCCATTTTATACTGGAGGGAACTAAGGTTCACAGGGATGAACTATTTCCCCAAGGCCACACAGAAATGATAGAGCTACATGTAGATCTAAATCAGACTCGTGACCTGATATTTCTTATGTTACGCTGTCTTTCTTGAGTTAGGATTTACTGAAGTCAAAACTCCTGAAATGAAATCAGTTTTCATATCCTAGATAGTTGTATTGGTTGGAGGTAATCATAACCACCAATGGCCACTCACCTGTAGGGGAAAAAATGTAAGCACAGATTACTTAAAAGACAAATTTATTGTTAGTTTAGGGTTTTTGAAGTGAAGTGAATGTAAAATATTCATGCACCAGCTTTTTTTTTTTTTTTTTTTTTTCAATATACAATGTGGTTGATTATTATGACCCATCACCGAAACCTCCCTA